CTAAAGAGGAACTTAACAATATGCCTTCAGCCGAACAAGTCTATGTGGGTGGGGACGAGGACAGGTTGACGAGTTTAGCAGTTACCAGGGAGGATGTTCTTAAACAAATAGTAAAACTCAAACCAAACAAATCCCCAGGGCCGGATGAAGTGTTTGCTAGGGTGCTTAAAGAATGCAAAGAGGAGCTTTGTGACCCACTGTCAACCATATTTAATAATCAATAGAGTCAGGCAGAGTGCCAGAGTTTTGGAAAGTTGCTAATGTGATACCAGTTTTTAAGAAAGGAGATAGATCACTTGCGTCTAACTATCGACCAATTAGCCTAACGTCTATTGTGGGAAAGTTACTCGAATCTATAATAGCAAATAAAATTCGTCTTCATCTTGAACAACATAAATTAATAATTGAGTCGCAACATGGTTTTATAAATGGCCGTTCATGTTTAACAAATTTGTTATCTTTTTATTCTAGCATTGTTGAGGCAGTTGATAGTGGTAAGGATTGCGATGTTGTATACCTTGACTTTAGCAAAGCTTTTGATACAGTGCCACATGAAAGACTGATTAAAAAAATAGAGTCTCATGGTATTGGGGGTGCTATATTAAGCTGGATTAGGGCATGGCTATACCAAAGGAAACAGAGAGTTAGTATAAATGGAATCAAGTCAGAGTGGGAAAATGTTGTAAGTGGAGTGCCTCAAGGCTCTGTCCTGGGACCTCTGTTGTTTATAATATATATAAATGATTTAGATTCAGGTTTGAGTAGCAACATTTGCAAATTTGCCGATGATACGAAAATCGGTAGGGAAATTAATTCGGAGGAGGACTCACTATCACTTCAAGTTGATCTAGATAGGGTTTTGAAATGGTCAAAGGATTGGCAGATGCAGTTTAATGCTGATAAATGTAAAGTTCTGAGGTTAGGTAATGATGATAGAGTTACAAGATACGAGCTAGATGGTGTTGTGATTGCGAAGTCGGATTGCGAAAGGGATCTGGGAGTTATGATTAGTAAGAATTTAAAACAAAAGGATCAATGCATAAATGTTCGTAATAAGGCAAATCGGACACTTGGATTTATTAATCGCAGCGTTAGTAACAAGACACCTGGTGTGGTTCTCAAGCTATATCTTGCTCTAGTTAGGCCCCATTTAGATTATGCAGTTCAGTTTTGGTCGCCATATTATAGAATGGATATAAATTCACTTGAACGTGTCCAGCGTAGGATGACTAAGTTAATTCCCCAAATTAGAAATCTTTCATATGAAGAAAGATTAACAAAGCTTAAGTTGCATTCACTGGAAAGGCGAAGAGTTAGGGGTGACATGATAGAGGTTTACAAGTGGATGAATGGACATAACCGGGGGGATATTAATAGGGTATTAAAAGTATCAACACAGGACAGAACACGAAACAATGGATATAAATTGGATAAGTTTAGATTTAGGAAAGACTTGGGTAAATACTGGTTCAGTAACAGGGTTGTTGATTTGTGGAACCAATTGCCGCGTAACATTGTGGAGGTGGGGTCCCTCGATTGTTTCAAGCACGGGTTAGACAAGTATATGAGTGGGATTGGGTGGTTATAGAATAGGAGCTGCCTCGTATGGGCCAATAGGCCTTCTGCAGTTACCTTTGTTCTTATGTTCTTATAACAATTCACTTAGGGTATATTACACTAACAGTAGAAGTCTAAGAAATAAAATTAACGAATTAAATGCTCTTGTCTGCACAGAAAAAATAGATATTATTGCACTTACCGAAACGTGGATGAATGTAGAAAATAGAGAACTATTAGCTGAATATCAAATATATGGATTTAAACTATTTCACACAGATAGATATATTAGACGAGGAGGTGGAGTAGCCATATATGTTAGGGACAATTTGAAATGTAGTCTCAAAGAGGGAATCAAAACAGCCACACACAGAAACTATTTGGATTGAATTAAACGAAAAAGCTAATAATATTATAATAGGAGTAATATATAGGCCACCAAATTTAGACAGAATGGAAGCAAAGCATCTATGGGATGAAATATCTAGAGCATCTAGATCTAACAGTATTTATGTCATGGGTGACTTTAATTTTAGCGGAATAAACTGGTTGAACAAAACAGGGAATAGTGAAGCAGAAGATTTTCTAGAATTAATTGACGATTGCTTTCTTACGCAACACATTAAGGAACCAACACGGGAAAATAATATTTTAGATTTAGTGTTAACTAACAGGGAAACGCAAATTAATGACATCGAAATAGGGAGTGAGCTAGGGAGCAGTGATCACAAAGAAATCAGATTTAGCATAGAATGGAATAGACCAGTAGGAGAAAATTCTGTTAAAGTGCCAGATTTTCGAAAAGCTGATTTTAATAGCCTAAGAAATTTTTTGGGTCAAATTGATTGGAAAGGCTTGGGTATGGGGTGTGGGCCGGTCTTGGAGCGAGACATGAACCCAGCGATAGGTGACTTAAATGGGGATTTCGATGTGGATTCAATATATAACTTATTTAAGAATATTCTAAACAAAGCACAGGAACGTAGTATACCATACAAATTGAATAGATCGTATACTAATGACCCAAAGTGGATAACAAAGAATTTGAAGAACCTTATAGGTAAAAAGAGAGCTTGGTACAAAAGGATTAAAAATGGGGAGGTCACTTTAGAACAGGAATTCGTACAACTGGTTAGAAATGTTAAAAAAGAGATAAGGAAAGCAAAAAGAAACTATGAAGTTCGCATAGCAGGGCAAGCAAAGACAAATCCTAAAGGGTTTTTTCAGTTATATCGTGCTAAGACTAGGGAAAGGATAGGTCCATTAAAAACTGAGACAGGTCAAATAACAGATAGTGATGAAGAGATGAGTAGTATTTTTAATAAATATTTTGTATCTGTATTTACTAAAGAGGAACTTAACAATATGCCTTCAGCCGAACAAGTCTATGTGGGTGGGGACGAGGACAGGTTGACGAGTTTAGCAGTTACCAGGGAGGATGTTCTTAAACAAAATTTGTTAAACATGAACGGCCATTTATAAAACCATGTTGCGACTCAATTATTAATTTATGTTTTTCAAGATGAAGACGAATTTTATTTGCTATTATAGATTCGAGTAACTTTCCCACAATAGACGTTTGGCTAATTGGTCGATAGTTAGACGCAAGTGATCTATCTCCTTTCTTAAAAACTGGTATCACATTAGCAACTTTCCAAAACTCTGGCACTCTGCCTGACTCTATTGATTTATTAAATATGGTTGACAGTGGGTCACAAAGCTCCTCTTTGCATTCTTTAAGCACCCTGGCAAACACTTCATCCGGCCCTGGGGATTTGTTTGGTTTGAGTTTTACTATTTGTTTAAGAACATCCTCCCTGGTAACTGCTAAACTCGTCAACCTGTCCTCGTCCCCACCCACATAGACTTGTTCGGCTGAAGGCATATTGTTAAGTTCCTCTTTAGTAAATACAGATACAAAATATTTATTAAAAATACTACTCATCTCTTCATCACTATCTGTTATTTGACCTGTCTCAGTTTTTAATGGACCTATCCTTTTCCTAGTCTTAGTACGATATAACTGAAAAAAACCTTTAGGATTTGTCTTTGCTTGCCCTGCTATGCGAACTTCATAGTTTCTTTTTGCTTTCCTTATCTCTTTTTTAACATTTCTAACCAGTTGTACGAATTCCTGTTCTAAAGTGACCTCCCCATTTTTAATCCTTTTGTACCAAGCTCTCTTTTTACCTATAAGGTTCTTCAAATTCTTTGTTATCCACTTTGGGTCATTAGTATTCGATCTATTCAATTTGTATGGTTACTACGTTCCTGTGCTTTGTTTAGAATATTCTTAAATAAGTTATATATTGAATCCACATCGAAATCCCCATTTACGTCACCTATCGCTGGGTTCATGTCTCGCTCCAAGACCGGCCCACACCCCATACCCAAGACTTTCCAATCAATTTGACCCAAAAAATTTCTTAGGCTATTAAAATCAGCTTTTCGAAAATCTGGCACTTTAACAGAATTTTCTCCTACTGGTCTATTCCATTCTATGCTAAATCTGATTTCTTTGTGATCACTGTTCCCTAGCTCACTCCCTATTTCGATGTCATTAATTTGCGTTTCCCTGTTAGTTAACACTAAATCTAAAATATGTAGGTAGAAACTACAATTGTCGGGTTAGAATACAAAGGCAAAAATTACAAAACTTATCATCTGTAAGAAAGTGTCTTCCTCTGATCCAAACATAATTATACCTAATTATGTCTGGGTTTTATTTTCTCCAAATCTGAAGTGGTTTGCATGTATGGTGTTGAAGCCCAACACCTAACCAACAAACTCCATTTTTGATTATGCAGTTAAATTTTGGTCCCCCGTATTATTAAATAACCATAAATTTAATTGAGCGTTGAGTTTTGTAATATTCTTAGAAACAGGTTAAGTTGACAAAATATAATATAGGTGAGGTTCACAAGAAAGAAAGTGAACATATTTCATCATCCGTTTGTTTTGTAAGTGATGTTACACCTGTAACATCACTTACAGGTGTAACATGTTACACCTGTAACATCACTAACAGGTGTAACATGTTACACCTGTAACATCACTTACAGGTGTAACATGTTACACCTGTAACATCACTTACAGGTGTAACATGTTACACCTGTAACATCACTTACAGGTGTAACATGTTACACCTGTAACATCACTAACATGCTTGTTAGTGGCGCTGCAAGAATGTACAAATATCAGTTTTATGTAATCTCACAAACCCATTGTACCTTCTTGTGGATAAATTATTATTATTATAAATTATTGTTTGTATGGGCTTAGGTCGGACAGTGCAGGGAGCATCGCTTAGGCAATTCTTATAATTTTCCTTAACTCACAACGGGAATTGTGTTGAGGGATTAGCATCACTATATAGTTTTATTGTCGACTAAATTAAATTATTTGGAAAGGTAATTTGATATATATGGTTAAAAAATACCTTATGACGTGAGTGTTTATAAATCTTCGACACAAGTTCTGACACATAACTAGCCAGTTTATATTCCATAAGGCACTGCTTAGATGTATCCTGATGATATCACACATGTATAACTTCAATAATGTAATTATCTGGTCTGACCCAGTAAATAATTAGTCACTTTCAGAGATCATACACTTCTAAACATGCCATGAAAGAATGACAAACCAATTTGTTTAGCTATCTGAAAAGTAAAAGTAGCCGATATATTATCTTTATGGCTGGCCATTAATAGTATTAATGGTAATACATCAAGTTCAATGATCGACTATTCCGTGAAAACACAAGACCTTATTTTACCGCATCTCAAAATCTCCTGGAGAGTTGTTCGTATTTCGAGTGTCAGATGCCGCTGCTGCCCTGCGGAGTGTGGCAGTGAGGGAGCTTGGTATACACACACTTCCCTTCTCAATCTTACGAAGCAAACCTTTACAAGAACTTCCTTGTGCCTGTGTCGAGTCTTGGATGCTTGTGGACGTATTACTATTAACATAGAAACTTCCTGGCTCTAGAAGTTCTGGCTTATGCAGAGTATGACATGGCGACGTTTGTAGGTCTAGAGTCAGTTTCTGGTCCCTCAGAATCGTGTCCGAATCTAGAAGTTGATCTGAATGTCTAGTTAAAGGTGTGGGTGGAGAACTTACTGAAGGCTCTGAGATACATTTATTTTGCTGTTGACTGTTATAAGGTGTTGAAGGGGCACATGCAGTCGTAGACGGAGAACTTCTATCCGTATCTTCAGAGAAAAACCTATGAATATCGAGTATTGAGCCTTCGTCGGAGGGCAGGGTTGGAAATGTTCGAATATTGCATACCTCTGAACTTGAGAAGCCTCTCTTTAAGTTAGAATAAACTGGAATTGATAAATTTGGTGAAGGAGGTCGAAATTTAATACTAGATTGAAAGATATTTGTAAGTGTAAGGTTGCTTCCCAGCGACCTTTGTGTAAGAGATGATAATGAACGTGCGAGTATTGGGGACACAGGTGAGGAACACCTCCCACTGGGTGAATTAAAGCACAGCGGTTGCGGACTGTTAGAGGGTTTCAGCGAGGAACTCGAGCAGCGAGCGCTACCTTGGGTGCTAGGAGTACCCAGATGTAACTGAGAAAAGCGTAGCTCTCGATAGTCCTGTGGCGTAGGAAATATGGGCAGTCCAGCACCCTTCTGGTCCCCGAGCCCCTGACACACCCTACCCACACAGAGACTTTGGTCAGAGCACGTGTCATCTGAGGAGTAGTTTGTATATAGATGTTTATTCGCTGAATGTTGACTTACTCCGCTCCATCGGCCGCACACAGTCAGGTCTTGCCCTTCTCCAATACCCTCGGCGGTCCTGCCGAAGGTGACTTTACCCGACCATGAGGTTGGTTCATTTGGTGTAGAAAAAGTTCTTTTTGACTTAGAACTTATATTAGGAGTTCTTCTATCGCGAATGAAGTCCTTTTCGGGAGTGTCTGAAACATCATGTGTGAATGTAAGATAAACTTGAATATAATATTTAATGTCTCTGAAAATTACATAACGTTAATATTCAAATGTTTACATTTATGTATCAATCCTAAACACACATACATTTTTTTTATCATAATTATATATGACTGATGGGTCGTTCTCTGTCCCACACTAGTAGGATGGGTCCTTCTGCAACCACACAATAACTCGCCAGAGCCGTTTCCCACCTCCAATTACAGTAGTAGGAGAATGCCAAGAGAACACGCTATACTCTCAGGAGCACGCAGCTTGTTATAGATATCCAGGGAGAGAGGGAAACAAATAATAACGGAACAAGAGCCGAGGCGGTAGACAGGGAGGAAACTGAATTACAAATTCAGGAAGTTGTAAATTCTGATACAATATGCCCGGAAAAAGATGACACTAGACAAGAGAGTGTGACAGACAAAACTGACAGTTCGATATTTACAGACAACACTGCCAGTTCGGTAGTTACAGACCTCGACAGTGACAGACAGACCAGAAAGACAGTAATTTGCAAGTTTTATGTTAAGGGCGTTTGCAGACATAGATATTCTGGAAATAGAAAGGGATTAGAATGCAGTTACCACCATCCCAAAAAATGTCTAAATATACTTAGAAAAGAAAATGTTGCTTTGGATCAGCATGTAGATTTTTCCATCGTGACATGTGCAAAACCTCATTTAAGGAAAGAAAATGCTATGAGCCCATTCTTTCACTTGAAAGGCACAGAACAATACATGAAGAGTGGCTAACAACAAAATGACTGGAGGAAAATCAAATAATTTTTTATACCCAGACAAAAGAGGTTTCAAATGTTGGAACAGAGAGAGAGTATGAAACTAGCTGAAAGACCCACTTGCATACCAGAAGCACAGATACAATTACACACCATAACAAAGCTACAACTAGGACAGGCAACAAGCCTACAACAATCAGTACTGGTCAGAACAAATCGGATATCTCCACGCATAACTGACCTGCCAGAAAAGTCTCCCAGTCCAATTACCCCAAATAGAGTAGCCTCATTTATCTTTGCCAAAAACAAGGACTAAAAACGAGGAAAACACAAAGTACCGTTCATAAATGGCCTCCTCACCGAGTCAAATGCAGTATTTGGAGTTTTCACAGAAACCCATGATGGGGAACTTTTTGGACAGTGAGATTTGGATACCAGAATATAATCTATATAGATGTGATAGGGTAAATAGGTCACATGGAGGCGTAGGTTTATATATAAGAGAAGACCTTGTATCCTCGGAGCATCTTAGCTCTACAAATGAGGTGGTAGACGTACTGGGAGGAAAAAAATAGAGAAATAAACTTAGTTATTACTCTAATATACAAACCGGCAGACGTAACGGTTGAGGGATTAATAGAACAGATAAACAAAATGTAGTTTAAGTTATTAAAAGCCTTGACAATTTGGCGAACCCGATACCTGATATTATCTTCCTAGGTGACTTCAACCAGCCTAAGATGGAGAGCCTGAGAAAGAAAGCCTAAGAAGCTAAGATGGAGAAAAGCAGACAATAATATTATACTAGGAAATATATCTGGACATAACCAGCTGCAGATTAGAGAACTACTTCGATTCTGTGACAAATTTTTAATCCACCAGCAGATAACAGAGCCAAATCGGAACGAAAATATTCTAGATCTGATCTTCGCAAACAATGAAGACATAATCAGGAGCATTACTCATTAAGGAAATGATAGAGATATAATCATAGGCAAGGTTGAGTAATGAATTATATCAAATGTTGGGAGGTTAGGTAGGTTTGAAGCTAATATGGCACGAATTACCATTGGAAAATTAGAATTCGGAAGAAAAATACTCAAGAATGCCCACAACCTCAAGGATCTTGAAGGATATAACTGAGTATACATATTTCATGACCTCACAAAAAGAGCAGCAAAAAAGAAAAAAAGAAAGGGTGCTCAAAGGAATACCGAGGGAGTTTAAAAACAAGGAACAATACAAAAATGCAAAGCTAAAGATAGGAGAGGGCAGGTGATCCTGATAGTAGATGGACGAGAGAACATAGTCCAGCAAGGCAGAACTAACTATATATCTCGGACGACAAACAGCTTAAAACCCAAAGTGATAGTTTACAGAACATCTACGTAATACGGTAGCAATCTCTCAGCCCCCAAGAACAACATCAAGAGTTTAAATTGTTTTACACAAATGCCAGAAGCTTAGTGAATAAATTTGACTCTTTATGTGCATATGCTGAGGCTGAAAATCCCGACATTATTGATATCAGTGAAACATGGGACCAGAGGACATAATAGAAGGGGGAATTCTATCTCCAATGATACAACCCACTATTCAGAAAGGACAGAGCAACAAGAGCAGACGGGGTGATGCTTTATGTGAAAGAGGATCTGGATGCTACCAACAATGAGGAACTGAACACCATGAGATCCTCAGAGTATGTTTTGTGTAACATATTAACTCAATACGGAAGCAAAATGGCAGGGAAGTGGCGGATCTGCATAATGTGATGAATGAGACATCAGGAACCCAAATCTTAATAATGGAGACTTAAACCATGAAACCATAGATTGGTTAAATCTAACATCACAAGCAGGAGAACAATTTATAGACCTGGTACAGGACTTCTTTCTCATACATCATGTGGCGGAACCCACAGGTGGTATTTTTAGATCTTGTGCTAACATCAGAAGAGGGTATGAGTGATCAAACTCAGTTAGGGGAAAAGATAACCACCACATGTGATCACCATATTTAAAGGTGGACTACGACTATAGAAACCCACATAATGGTAAATGATAATGAATTTCTAGATTACCATCGAGGAGACTCTCAAGGAATGAGAGAGGAACTATAAAACATCTGGAGGGAAATGTTTTGGATGGGTGAACATGGATAGGTTTTGTTTTTGGCTTTGGAATATATGGATAGGTGAACATCATGGAAGCATCATAGCAAAAACTTTAAGGTCATCACGGAACTTGTTCAAAAATATGTGCCAAAGATGAGTAGGAAAAGAAAGGGAACATGATGGGTGATGCAGGTCGTAATACGTGCATTGATAGTCAAGCAGAACATCTGGGAAAAGTATAAATCCACGATGAACATCAGTGATTATGAGATATACAAAAGGACACTAAACTCGGCCACCCAGATAATCACATCAGCCAAAGCTACAAAAGAAAAATTGCTCAAAACATTAAAAGAAAAGATCCAAAATCATTCATGCCTATATAAGAGGTAAAACCAAAACAAAGGATTCTGTAGGACCCTTAATAGATGGAACAAGCCGAGTTATAGTGAACGACAAAAAGCCGCAAACGCTCTAAATGAAATATTTTACATCAGTGTTCACACTGGAAAAGTTAAATGACATTCCATCACCCACACAAATGTATGCAGGAGGTGAATAGAATGAATTTAGGGATATACCCATAACATGCCACATAATCAGGAAGAACATTGACAAACTAAAAAGACTCAAATGCCCCAGGTGTGGATGGAATCCGATCCAGAACGATAAAGAAACTGGCAAAAGAACTATGCCTACCGCTGAAATGACTTTTCACAAAATCACTAGACCAAGGGATAGTCCCCCCCCCTTGAATGGAAATATGCAAATGTCACCCCTATTTTCCAAAAAGGCAGAAAGAGCTCAGCAAAAAACTTGCGGCCGATCAGGTTGGCATCACACATCTGCAAGCTCATAGAGAGAATCCTTAGGGAAGGAATCATTTGCTATCTTTCAGTGAACAATCTTGTACAATCGACACAAAATGGGGTTGTTAAAAATAGATCCTGCCTTGCAAACCTGCTCACATTTTCATAAACCGGTAACCAACGGTTTCAAGCTCAGACAAAGACCTTCCGGTAGATGTAGTATACATGGATTTTGCTAAAGACTTTGATGAGGTACCAAATGAAGGACTGGGAAGGAAATTACAGGCACATGGAATAAATGGTAAAAATACTAGAATGCATAAAATAATGTTTGAAACAAAGGAAAGAAAGGGTCGTGCTTAATTGGAACAAACATGAATGGTGAAATATGCAAAGTGGGGTGCTAAAGAGGTTCATTTTGAGGCCAACCCTTTTTTGTCATATACATTAATGACATAGATGAGAATATTACAAACCACATCATCAAATTTGTAGATGATACAAAGATTTATGGTAAAGTGTGAAATTATAATGATACTGAAGCCTTACAAAGAGATTTGTATGAACACAAATGGTCAGAAGACTGGCAAATGCTTTTTAATATCGGTAAATGCAAGACCTTGCATGTGGGGCTGTTACGAACCTTACCTCCTGTAGAGGTTATTTTCTATTATAAATTATTTATTAACACATAGGAGAATATTTTCTTGAAAGAAATCTGTAGCTGGCAACTGGGGGGTCGCGAGTGACTCATTACTCCGCGGGTAAAGTAGTACTCTTCAGCTGGAGATGGTTTAGGAATAACGTGTACTGGAATAGCAAAACTATGTTAAGGGAAAAAATGATTCAATCAATAAACCTGCGTGGGGGATATGGTAAATGAAGTCAATAAGGGGTTTGATTGGAAATGTTAAAGAATAGAGTATTAAGGGGCGATGATGCAACAATTGCATCATCGCAATTGGTGTCAATTGCCGGCTGGAAAGATATTGCAAATCAAATGCAATATCTTTCATAGACAACTGGGAACACTTCTATGGAAGAAATGAAATGTATGCTCGTGATGGGGTGCATCTATCGAGAGCTGGGGTTGTTGCTGTTGCGAACTCGTTAGAAGAAGTGGTTAGAGGTGTTTGTTTGGGTTTAAACTGTTAGTAGATAGAGGTATGGGAATTGATTTGGAGGAAGGAGGTAATAAAAGTATGTGTTTGTGGGAGAAAGGAATTGGCAAAACGATCAGGGAAAGAGAAGGTCCGCAAAATAACAATTCACTTAGGGTATATTACACTAACAGTAGAAGTCTAAGAAATAAAATTAACGAATTAAATGCTCTTGTCTGCACAGAAAAAATAGATATTATTGCACTTACCGAAACGTGGATGAATGTAGAAAATAGAGAGCTATTAGCTGAATATCAAATATATGGATTTAAACTATTTCACACAGATAGATATATTAGACGAGGAGGTGGAGTAGCCATATATGTTAGGGACAATTTGAAATGTAGTCTCAAAGAGGGAATCAAAACAGAGCCACACACAGAAACTATTTGGATTGAATTAAACGAAAAAACTAATAATATTATAATAGGAGTAATATATAGGCCACCAAATTTAGACAGAATGGAAGCAAAGCATCTATGGGATGAAATATCTAGAGCATCTAGATCTAACAGTATTTATGTCATGGGTGACTTTAATTTTAGCGGAATAAACTGGTTGAACAAAACAGGGAATAGTGAAGCAGAAGATTTTCTAGAATTAATTGACGATTGCTTTCTTACGCAATACATTAAGGAACCAACACGGGAAAATAATATTTTAGATTTAGTATTAACTAACAGGGAAACGCAAATTAATGACATCGAAATAAGAACATAAGAACATAAGAACAAAGGTAACTGCAGAAGGCCTATTGGCCCATACGAGGCAGCTCCTATTCTATAACCACCCAATCCCACTCATATAGGGAGTGAGCTAGTGAGCAGTGATCACAAAGAAATCAGATTTAGCATAGAATGTAATAGACCAGTAAGAGAAAATTCTGTTAAAGTGCCAGATTTTCGAAAAGCTGATTTTAATAGCCTAAGAAATTTTTTGGGTCAAATTGATTGGAAAGTCTTGGGTATGGAGTGTGGGCCGGTCTTGGAGCGAGACATGAACCCAGCGATAGGTGACTTAAATGGGGATTTCGATGTCGATTCAATATATAACTTATTTAAGAATATTCTAAACAAAGCACAGGAACGTAGTATACCATACAAATTGAATAGATCGAATACTAATGACCCAAAGTGGATAACAAAGAATTTGAAGAACCTTATAGGAACATAAGAACATAAGAACATAAGAACAAAGGTAACTGCAGAAGGCCTATTGGCCCATACGAGG